GGAAGAGGGATTGTTCCACGTAACCTACAAAGAGGCAGGCGTAGCTTCAACCACTTTCTATAGTAGTGAATTAGCCAGACACACTCTGTGTGAAGAAATAGCTCCTCATCTCAATCCCACAAGGTTTCCCCTTATCCTTAAACTGTGACTCCTGGTTCTGGACTCCTCTACTATCAGAAATATCCTCCCTGCATCTACCCTGCCTAGTCTTGTTACAATTTTATTCGTTTCTATAAGATTCCACACATCATTCTTCTAAACTCCACCGAATACAATCGTAACTGTCTCAATCTCTCCTCATACATCAGTCACATAATCATAGAATCCCTACAGTGTGGAAGCAGGCCATTTGGCCCATTGAGTCCACACTGATCCTCTGAACGGCATCCCACACAGACCCACCCCCATCCCTGTAAACCTGCACACAATGGACAATTTAGCATGGCCAAACCACCTAATCCACACAGCATTGAACTGTGGGAGGAAACCGTAGCACCTGAAGTAAACCCACGCAGACACTGGGAGAATGTGCAAACTCCACACAGACAGTCGCTCAAGGTTGGCATTGAACCCAGGCCCCTGGCGCTGTGAGGCAGCAGTGCTAACCACTGAGCCACCGTGCCGCAGTTGTGCCATCTGAGGAATCAATTTGATAAATCTTTGTTGCACTTCCTCGATAGCAAAGATATTCTTCCTCAGATAAGGAGGCCAAAATTGGTCACAACATGCCAGATGTGGCCTCATTAATACCCTGCAGCAAGACATACTTGCTCCTGTACTCGATTCCTCTTGCTCTGAAGGCCAAAATACAGTTTGCCTTCTTTACTGTCTGCTGTACCTGCGCACTTACTTTCAGTGACTGGTGCGTGAGGGCACTCAGGTCTCGGTCAACGTCCCCCTCTCTCAATGTACAGCCATTCAAATTTTCCAAAGTGGATAACCTCACATTTATCCACTTTATACTGCACCTGCCATGCATTTACCCATTCACTCAACCTATCCATATCAAACTGCCACATCTCTGCACCCTCCTCACAGCTCACTCTTCCCATCCAGCTTTGTGTCGTCTGAAAATTTTGTGATATTATATTTAGTTCCCTCACCTAAATCATTAACGTGAATAGTTGGGGTCCTAGTACCAGTCCCTGCAGTAGCCAACCACTCACTGCCTGCCATTCAGAAAAACAGTCATTTATTCCTACTTGATACACTGTGGAGCTGGAGGAACCCAGCAGGTCAGCCAGCATCAGAAGAGCAGGAAAGTTGATGTTTCAGGTCAGGACCCTTCATCAGAACTCATTTAATCCTACTCTTTGTTTCCTGTCTGCTTACCAGTTTTCTTTCCATCTCAAATGCACTATCCACAATTCCATGCACTTTAATTTTACAGATTAATCTCTTATGTTGGACTTTGTCAAAAACCTTCAGAAAGTCCATCGATCAACTCTACTAGTTATATCCTAGAAGAATTCCAGTAGATTTGTCAAATATGATTTCCCTTTTGTAAGTACATGCTGGCTGTGTCTAATTCTACAAATGTTTTCTAAGTGCGCGGCTGTGAAGTCCTTGATTATGGACTCTAACATCCTCCCCATAAAGACGTCAGACTCAAGTGTCTATAGTATCATGTTTTCTCTCTACCGCCCTTTTTAAATAGTGGGGTTACATTAGCTACCCTACTGTAGGAATTCTGTTCCAGAATCTGAAGGATCTTGGAAGATGGCCATCGATGGATCCACTATTTCTAGGGCCACTTTCCAACTTCCTCTATTTTTCTTTTTCCTCACTTTCCAGTTTCCTGTATGTTTCCTTTTTCCTCTATTTCAGTTTCAAAATTTCTTAACCCCATGACCCTTTGCATTAATCTTTTTATGGACCATAAGATGTGCAAGCGGAAATAGTCTAGTCAGCCCACCAACTCTGCTCTGCTTTTCAATGAGATCATGACTGATCTGATAATCCTCAACTTCACTTTCCTGCCTTATCCCCATCACCTTTGATTCTTTTAAGGATTAAAAATTTGTCTATGTCAATCGTGAATATACTAAGCAATACTGCCTTGGCCATCTCTGCGGTAAAGAAATTCATTACCCTCTGAGAGAAGAAATTCCTCCTTGTCACTGTCTTATCTTATCCTGAGATTATGTCCTCCCATCCTAGACTGTCCCACAATGGGAAACAATTCTCTACAACTACCTTGCCAAGCCTCCTTATTTCTCCTTTAATAAGCCATGTGAGATTCTTCTTTCACTCCTAACTTCAATTTACCCGCTAACTCTCTCAATTTAGCTTTAGTCATAGTTTTTTAATAATACACTGTCATATCTTTCACTTACAGAAAATTCTTGGTAACTTTCAAAGCCACCTTCAAATTCTATGCAATAAACTTCATCACAGCTGTTTTATGTCCAGAACTGTCATGTACCTGATACTTTAAGAAGACACTGAGCCCTTTTAAATCCAGTGAATTCAAATTCTGCAAGAACTCCCCGTTGTTTCGATTTCAGCTAATGTTATTATTGGACAGGTCAGATCCCAGACTGAAATCTGGCTTGATTGATTTTTTGTTTTTATTTAATTAAGCGCCTTTCACTGAAACACAAGTATGCAATGCTGTAGATTTGGTATTAGCAATGAAACACAAGTTCATTACAAAAAGGCAGAGGTACAATAGAATAAAACAATCTATTTACATATTACACAATTTGAAAGAATTTGAAACACACAGTAAAAATACAATCTCTTCTTTCCCAAGGTCATCACTCAAAAATGAGGCATTTCTATTATATCAACAAATTTAACAAAACTGTTTATTTTAATTCCCCACCTTGAGAATTTTGCATGATCATGATCATGATCAATCACGTAACTGAGCTTAGACTTTATCAGCTTTCAATAAGGAGGCTTGGCAAGGTAGTTGTAGAGAATTGTTTCCCTTCATGGCTCTAAACAAAGACTTCCGTTCTAAAACTTCCATGCTAAAATCCCTACACTGAGATAAGCTTTTCCCTAACTTTCCTGAACTAACACCATTCTCTCAGAGAAACTATTTCATACATCTGACTTTAACCAGGACAAAAAGATTCCTGATCCTTCTAAACTAAAAGGAAATTAGTATTTATTCCGTCTGGTTTGTAAAATTTACTCCATGTAAACAAATCCCTATTATCAGCCAGGGATTCTCTCTCATACTAGTTTAAAGGAAATAATCTCTCCTGAAATACCGATATGTTAATCATTAAGCCCCATCATACACACAAATATCCACATGCCACTAGTTCAAAATCCAAATTCTAAAATAACTGATTTTAAAATATATACAAATCACTCTAGGATGTGGGCAATGCTGGCTAGGTCAGCATTTATTGCTCATCCGTAATTTCCCCTGAGAATATGATGGTGAACTGCCTTCTTGAACTGCCGCAGTCTATGTGGTGTAGGTACACCCAAAGTGCTGTTTGGAAGGGAGATCCTAGATTTTGACTCAGTGACAGTAAAGGATTAGTGGTATAGTTTCATGTCAGGATGATATATGACTTTGAGGGGAATTTTCAGGTGGTGGTGTTCCCATGCATTTGCTGCCTTGCCCTTCTGGGTGCTACTGATTACAGGTTGAGAAGGAGACTTGATAATTTGTTGCAGTGTATCATGTTGACAGTACACATTGCAGCCATTGTATGTTGGTGGTGGAGGACATATATGTTGCCAGTGTTAGGTGAGATGCCAATGCAGTGGGTTGGCTTATCTTGGGTGGTGTTGGGCTTCTTGGGTGTTGTTGGGATTTTACTCATTCAGCCCAGTGGAAAATGTTCTATCACGCTCTTGACTTGCGCTTTGTAGGTGGTGGACAAGTTTTGGGGAATCAGAGATGAGTTACTTGTTGCAGAATTAGCAACCTTTGACCTGCTCCTGTAGTCACAGTATTATGTGTCTGATTTAGTTCAGTTTCTGGTCAATGTATTCCTGAGGATAGTGGAACATTCATTGACAGTAATGTCATCAAATGTCTGTGGGTGATAGTTAGATGTTGCCATGTTGGAATTGAATGATGCCGGACACTTGCGTGGTTCAAAATTTACTTGTCATTAGCAGCCTGAATGTTGTCCAGCTCTTGCGGTACTGAGACCCAGACTGTTTCAGTACCTGAGGAGTAGTAAATGATGCTGAATAGTGTTCAAGAGGGTAAATGCATAGATGATGTTTCCATTTGTGCAGAGATTCCAAAACTAGCGGTCATAACTCGGCCAGAATTTAGAGCTCTGTATACTAAATATTGGGCAAGCATCTTCAGAAGGCCCAATTGCTGAGAAAGCATGCCACATCAAGCACTGTTTAGGCATTTAACTCTCATTTGGTGAGTTTTCTGTCTATTCTGGGGCATCACCATTGTTATCCTTCTCTGCCAGAAGTTGCCAGATGCCAATGAAAGACTGAGAGTCTTAAAGTGAGGAAGAGTATTGCTGGTGACCTAGACCGTACAATCATGAAGAGGTGCACTGGCAAGCAGGTAACAGCGTTTTGAGGCAGGGGGTGGTTTGCCAGGAGTAGTGGTCTCTGGGAGAGATGCGTCATGGGCATTGGAGATAAGCAAAAGTGGGTGGCTTTCAATGGCCAATCCATGGCACCCATTCCAATCCATGGCGCCCATTCCTGCTCCTGGTTGCCCCCAGGTTGGGGCAAATTGAAGCACACCCCTAAACTTGGCACAGAAGTTGGCTTGGTTTCCCTGTTGGGTAAACAGCCACTTTTCTCACCTTCAGAGGCAGGTAATTAGGTCATGGTCGTGTTGAGGCCCTTAGTTGGCTGTTCATTCACCATTTAGGGCCTTATTTGATGGCAAGAAGAAATGTTCTTTGAGAATTCAATTGCCGAGGTGGTGGAGAGGAGCAAGTATCTATCTAGATTTTATTTTGCCACCTTTTTGCCTTTCATACCTTCGACACCTCCAGCGAATCAAAAATTGCACATAGTCAGGAAAGATCCAATAGACAATTCGGTGAAATCTTCTTTATTTAAAGAGCAGTCAGAATGTGGAATTCACTACTAAAGGGAACAATTGAAGTGAAATAGTATAGATACTATTCTGATGAACCTTCTGTTAGCTGAAGTGAAATAGGAACAAGCTAATGTGGGGCATAAATAGTTTAATTGACTTGATTAGATGAGAACATTCAATGTAATTTTATAGATGCAAATTGAAACTTCTACTTACGACATTCTGGTAGCATGCACTTCTCCACCTGCTCCAACTCCTCATTGCATTCCCCCACCTCGGCTGGGGATTTCAGCATCCTCCACCGTGACCTCATGCCAATCCCACACGTAACGCTGCAGTCGCTCCAGTCTGACCAGGGAGTCAGCATACAGGGAATCGTCTCTGATAGCAAATACAAAACAGTTGTTGGCAATCCAAGTATAATCTGCCTAATCATAACGTTAATCCAAATCAACGCTTCCTAGGTGAACTATTTTCCCACAAAGGTTCCTTATCAGCATTCCATAAACTCAGATGACCTAACCATCTCAAAGTTTTGATTGGTTAATGGAGCTTGATGTTGGACATTGTCAAAAAATCTCATTTGAAATTTCACAAGTGTTTCCCCCACTTGCATTTCTATGGTATTCTAGTCTTTGTGTCTTTTTTTTTAGCATGTTTCTATTTCCAGAATGGATAGAGATCCCAAAGCATGGAGGAAAATTAATAAATGAAGTGATTTAAAATCAGTCAACACTGATCAGTGGTGACCAGCTACACATTTTTCAGTTAAAACAGCAGGCTAATTGACATCTGGGCTAATAGTTACATAACACTGAAGAAGAGGTACCTATTATAGTCATTGTGTCTAGAGACTAAAGCTTTCACAGGTTACTCACCTATCCCTTTTAGTGCCCAGAGATGGTGAACAATTAGGTCCTGTAAAGTTACCTTTCTTAAGTCCCGCTATTTACCTCATTATCATTTTGGCATGAATGCTAAATCCAACAAAACCTTCCTTTTATTTGTTGAATAGTTTCCCTTTTATCAGTCATATTTCATCCTTTTCTTCTACTGTGAAAATAAATGGGAAATGGCCTTTTAAGAACATAGTCATATATTACCTTTCAGAAAAACTTCCACTGAAGTTAATGAAAATCAAATGGGGTGTAAAATGAGCTTCTGATCTGCTTTCACTTAAGTGTAAAATTAAAATTTGGCCCTTGAAGTTCAAAGACATGTTCTCATTGATTTCCAGATCCTAAGAGTTTTTGATCTTCAGATTTGGATTTATCCACAAACAAGTCACTACATTAAGGACAACTCCTTTCTGAACCTCCTGGCCCATAGATTTAAAGAGAGGGAAAACCAGTGAACAAAGAAAATGAAGCACAAATAAGACCAGACTGCTTGAGGTTGAAACACTGGATTGTGAGGTTTTAAAAGACTGTAGTTTGAATGCTACCACTTACGTGGTTGAAGTCAATCACTTTTGTATTGCTCGTTGAACAAAATTCACTTCCAAGTACCTGTTGTTATTACAGGCCAGCAGATAACTAACAACAAATGACATTCATCCATCGATAGTGATGAGAATCTAATCCCTCCGCCATTATGATCAGCCAACAGTAAGCTGCTGTCAAAATTTCATCAGCCACATTACTAATGATCCCATTTCAAAATCATCATTATCCTATTAAGTCCAGGGCGGGAGCACAACAACTGACCACAAAGACTACAAAGGCTAAGAAATTTGACTGTCACTGATCATCAACGTTAACTCCACTTTTAGCTGTCCGTCAAATTAAACTAACTCTGATTAGACAGAACAGTTCGTACTCAACTGTTGTTACAAATGACAATAATATTGATTGAAAAAGTTACATTAATTTTTCAGCTTTAAATTATATCAATTATAGAAATGGTTACAATTAGGTTGAATAAATTATTTTGTGTTGATAATTGATGAAGAGCTAGCTCATTTTTAAAAAGACTATTATGTGAAACATTTGCAATTTGACTGATACTTTGAGAGTTACTGTGGGATTCAAAGCCTTGGCTCTTAAATGGTCCATCTACTTACGACAGTCTGGCATCCCACATTTGTCCATTTGTACCGTTTCCACTTTGCACGTGGATCCGTCTGATGGATGCATCTTGACCATTCGCTGCCTCCTTTTGGTGCCCATCCCACAACTCGCACTGCACTCCTCCCATTCTCCCCACTCTGTCACAAAGCAGGTATCTGATGCTAAAGTTGGGGGAAGAAGAGGAGATCAGTGAGGAATGCAGCAGTAATTTCATCAATAGTTGCTTTCTCGTTTGCAACCACTGTGTTCACTTTCATTCTGAGTTTAATTCTCAACTCCCTACCCTCTCCATCACCAAGAATATCTGCATTCAAACCTCCCTCCTTGGCTCAGTCAATCTGATTCTTATCATTATCAATGCTCCTCTAGCTGGCCTCCCATCTACACCTTCTGTAAATGTTAACTGATCCAAAACTCTAATGTCTATATTCTAACATTTGCCCATCAGCTCTTGGTCTCACTGACATACAGTGGATCCAGGTTAGGGGAGGCAATGGCCTAGTGGTATTATCGCTGGACAGTTAATCCAGAGACCCAGGTAACGTTCTGGGGACCTGGGTTCAAATCCCACCATGGCTGATGGTGAAATTTGAATTCAATAAAAAATCTGGAATTAAGAATCTAATGATGACCATGAAGCCATTGTCAATTATTGGAAAAACCAATCTGGTTCACTGATGTCCTTTAGGGAATGAAACTACCATCCTTACCTGGTCTGGCCTACATGTGACTCCAGACCCACAGCAATGTGGTTGACTCTCAACTGCCCTCTGGGCAATAAATGCTGCTTCGTCAGCGACACCCTTATCCCATAAAGGAATAAAGGCAACACCTTGATTTTTAGATTATCATCCTGGTTTCCAAATCACTCAATGCCCTCTGTGACCACCTACAGTTCTACAACATTCTGTGCCTGCTGTGATCCTCCAATTTCTCCCCCTTGAACATTCTTGATTTTAATCAAACTGCCATTGGTGGTCATGGCTTCAATATTCAATGTTTAAATACCTGAAATCCCACCCTAAACAATCCCCAGCTTTCTACTTCTTTTTCCTCCAAGTTTTCCACCTCATCAAAGGAGAAGTCAATAGAGAACACATTCACACTGATCCCACGACAATTGAACAGAATTGGCTGAAGTCAGGACTTACACTCCTCACCGAGTTGGAATTGTCACCTCAAAAAGTGGTCAGCTCCATTGCAAAAGGAAATTATAGACAGGTTAGGGACAGGTGGGAAGGTGGCGGGAAAACCAAGCGAGGCATTTTATTCCTTTCCAGCTTAAAAACCCACTATCGAGTGACTATAAAAGTCAGTTTTAAATCTTGGAATCCAGGATCAGGCACATACAGAGTTTTAGCATGCAGATTGATGCCACACTGAGTTTGGGGTTCAAGACAGACTCAACAAGGAGAAGAGAACGTTGAGAACTGACATAAAAGCTTATACTTCAAAGTAACATTATCTTACATTAATATTAAATATATGGCAATCATAGATATATCAGGCTGTAAGAGTTTGGAAACATTGTAGATTTGAGGGGTCTGATGAACTAGTATGAAAGAGGAGCTGAGGCCTGGGGCAGATCAACCATGATGTTGTTGAATTACAGGGCAGGCATGAGGGGTTGAATGGTTTACTCCTGCTCCTATTTCTTAAGTTCAACTGCCTCCACCCAAAGACTACATGACATCATAAGTCTGGCTAGCACTTAATGCAACATGAACAGTAACTCATTCAGAGCAATTACCTTACACAACAACATTTACCTTCAATTTTGTTTCATTGTTAATGGAACTACTGTTGATCCTACATTATAAGAGTAACTACATTTCAACGATATTGATGAAGAAAGACACATTTTGTCGAAGCTTTTCATCTTCCACTTATCAGGACAATTCACGAGAAAAATCAATGTAAAAGGAATTGTCCTGCAGAGTGCTAGGCAAAATAAAACTTCAACAAAACATATTCTTTTCAGCAGTATTCACACTCTGTGTTAACAAACGACTGCTTCAAATGTTCTTCATTGGCTGCAAAGTGCTTCGGAATTTCTTGAGATTGAAAGGTGAGAGGTGTTATATAAATGCAAGATTTCATTTCTTTCTCGATTGAGTTGGTTGTTAAACAGAAGTAGTATGGCCAATCTTAGTAAAGCATGCGCTGCAATTTATTTTTTAAAAAAGGCTTAGAATAGAGAAGCCAAGAAGATTTGGGAAACAAATACAGAAAACTTGTTCAGACTCAGTTTGTGTGATTTCCCAGTACTGTGTCTAAGTCTGTGCACCTCCCTTTAAAGAAGGGTATGAAAGTTTTGGAGAGGACACAAAAGACATTTACAATACTGGCTTCAAGGTTGACAACTACATGAACAGGTTGGAGAAGATCTTTAGTGCAGGGAAGGATAGGAGGAGATTTTCTGGAGTTGCTTAAAATCATGAAGGGATTTGATAGTGTAGATAAGGAGAAACTGTTTCCAATGGCAGAAATGTTGATATCCAGAAAACTCAGATTTATTGGGAATGGCAAATAAACCAGGGATGACAACATTGTACATAATGGATGGCCAAGATTTGGAACACATTGCCTGATAGAATGGTGGGAACAGAATCAATAGAAACCAATAGTTAATACTTAAAAGGAAAAAGTGCTTGGACAGAGGGAAAGAATGAGATATTGGGGTTGACTGAATTACCCTTTCAAAAGAGTCAGCGAAGATCCGATGAGTTAATTGCAATTTTTCGCAGGTACTACGTTGTGGTTCTAACTATGATGCTTTTTTCTATACTCTGTGAAATTAATCGGGTAGACAAGGAAAGGAGCCGAGTCATATACTCTCATTCTGCAATGGTAGAATTTACAGCACAGAAAGAGGCCACTAATCTCTTACTGGCTCTTTGAAAAAGATGACCTTTGCGCCATTCATTAACATTTTCTGCCATAACCCTGCAGGTTAAGCAGACAGGTCAGCTTAGCATCTCGTCTGGAAATCATGATCTCCAACAGTGTAACATTTCCTTGAGTATTGCACTCGAGTATTAGTGCTGGATTACATGCCAAGATTCTGGAACCTATGGCCTCTGGCTTAGAAGAGAGGTAGTATTAGTAATTGACTGATGCTGCAGATCCTACTCGTCAACAATGAATACAATTAAAAACAAAACTGAATTGGCTGTGATGTGCTTGAGACATTGAGGTCATGAAGGGTGTGATAGAAATGCAGGTCTTTTCATGCATTACCTCTGAACCTTGCAAAATATCTACACTGAAAGCATGACCTCATCTTTTTCTGTAACCTTTTTGGACATTGATGGGCTGGCAGAGTACTTTTTTTCTCTTGCACATACCGCATTCCTCATTGACAATGCATTTCTCTGTCTCTTCAGTGGGCAGTGTGCAGAGGGAGCCATCCTCGGGGTATTGCTTAATATATCTTTCCCGTGATCTCATTCCCATTCCACAGGAGAGGCTGCAAGGGGACCAGCTGATCCACTCCGACATCATGCAAGTCGACGCATCTGGAAAAGGTTTAAGTAGTGGATTACTGAATTGATCAAAAACCTTACAGACGTATGACAATGATGTGCAGGAAAAGACGAGTTGGTTTATCAAGCCTGCCCCAAACCAATGATGGCCACAACAGTAAAGCGGGAGAAATGTTGTGTATTTGTGTAAGTATGGTGAATTGTCTCTTTAAGAGTCTGAATCACCTGATGAGATAACAATGTCATCGGCTATTTTGGGAAACAGTTAAATCGAACCTTGTTGCCTGTACAGTAAATATCTCCTAGCTCAAAACTTAAAAGGCATCTGGATGGGTATATGAATAGGAAGAGTTTAGAGGCCAAATACTGGTAAATGGGACTAGATACGTTTAGGATACATGGTTGGCACGGACGAGTTGGACCGAAGGGTCGTTTCCATCTTGTGCATCTTTGTGACTGTGACTCTATTTCTGTCCATGTAGGGTACTCATTACTTAGTGTTCCTTCAGGATGGAGCACATGGCAAGCTTATTCTGCACTGTACACCTGACCCTTGAGTAAATTCCTTTCGTTTTCTGCTAATTGTACCTGCTTCAGTGCTGTGATGGTGTCTTTTGATTTCTTTTCTCCTTTTTATCGCAGTCCCTCTGAGATATGCAGTGAGCACCACAATTCTATTTTATTTTGTTTTAGACAAATTAGTGATTGCCCTGATGGATCTTGAAGCAGTTTTTATCCTCAGCATCAGTTTTCTTCTTGTATTAAATTCCAAGAAAGACCAGTGGGCCACAGTGTTTAACAACAGGTGTTTTATTAGGGTGATAAAGGCAGTAAGATTCGAGTAAACTGTTTCCTGTCTAAAATGGCTATTGATGTCAGAATTACATCATAAGATGGTATTCATAAGCGGCAATCCACCATACTTATGCAAATGTACAACAACAATATTTTTATTAAAGATTTCTCATTCACCATCCTTCACCCATCCGCAATCCTGTAATCATTTAGGAAGTGCAACAGAGGCCAGAGAAAAGCTCAATAAAGCAAACAAAAACCTGTGGTAAAATGCATCTCCAAAATCCACAGAGATTGAAGCCATATCGACTATGAGTATGTTATTCTACGTACCTTATTTGTGATATGCCTACTCCAGTCACAAAACGATCTAGCTCCCACTGCAGCCATCACAATACCCAGGCAAAACATTCCCACCATTCTATAGTTAAAACTCACATCCTTTTGGCCTTCCCAATCTGTCAATCTGAAATAATCTATCAATACGGATGCTATCTAGTCTTTTAGAGAATGGCAGTACCTTTATACTACAACATCGCATGTCATGGTTTCAAGTGATTGTCTCAAATATATGGGTTTGTCTGACTGGAATCTATGCCATAATGAAACAGCAAACCCATTTTACTTGAAAGAATAGGGAGCCTTTGTTTGATAATATGCACAAGGATGTAACTAGATATGTTGTCTCTAAACATTCAGAAAATTCCTTGGTGGATAGACCATATGACTACAGTCATATTGTCATAACTCTGCAGTGTAGCTTCTCTCTGCAATGTGCTATTTGTCATCACAAATGGATGTGTATCATTTGTCATTGATGTGCGGTGGTAATCTGGCATGATTCTTTCAATACCTGAGTTGTCATCCTGTATGATGGGTGGTTGATGATGTGCAGTTTTATTTCTTCACAGGATTTGACCGTTGTTCATTGCAACACTCTATGTCCTAGACCAGGCACAGTGACATAGTATCATTTCGTGAACCTAAGTGCTCGTAGGAAAATCTCAAACGCTTGTACTTTGTCCCAGTTCATTTGGAACAACTATCTCCATTCTCATTGATCATACTCTTATACTATTTTCTTCCTTCTTTCCAACAATTACATCAGGCACGGGTAGTTGGGAGATGACAGTGTGGGAGGAAAGACCAACATGAATCTCTCTCCTTTAGATTGGCCATGTTTCTGTATTTCACAACAATTTTAATGTCTGCTTGAGAAATGGGAAATCTTACATGATCACACATGTCAAGGACTAACCCAGAGAGTCAAATCCAGGTGCCAACTTTGGAGTTAGATAGGTAACTGCTAGTTTAGGCAGGCAAAAAAGCAGCAAGGCATTGGATAGGAGTGGAATAGGCCGAACTACAGCATGAAATAGAAGGATCTTCAATAGAAGGAGCAGGGACAGAAACAATTCTTTAATTAAAGGACAAACATACTTCACACATCCATTTTGTGCCTAATCATAGAATCATAGAGCACAGAAGCAGACCTTTCAAACCAAGTCATTCACGTCAACCAAGTTTCCCAATCTAAACGAGTTCCACTTGCCTGACTTTGGCCCATGTCCTTCTAAACCTTTTCTATTCATGTACCTGTCCAAATGTCTTTTAAATGTTGTAACTGTACCTGCATCTACCACTTCCTCTGGCATTTCATTCAACATACGAACCACCCTCCATGTGAAAAAGTTACCCTTCAGGTCCCTTTTAATTCTTTCTCCTCTCACCTTAAAAATAATTCCCCTTGTTTTGAACTCCCCCTCCCTAGGGAAAAGACATTTGCTATTCACCTTATCTATGCTCCTCATGGTTTTATAAGCCTCTATAAGGTCATCCCACAATCTCCTACACTCCAGTGAAAGAAGTCCCAGCCTATCCAGCCAATCCTTATAATTCAAACTTTCCAGTCCCCAGTAACATCCTAGTAAATCTTTTCTGAGCCATCTCCAATTTAATAGTAACCTTCCTATAGCAGGACAACCAGAATTGTGCACAGTACTCCAAAAGTGGCCTCACCAACCACAACTTAACATCCCAACTCCATTCCAAACCACTTTACACTTGGTACATAGATTACACCGCAAGCATTTTGTTTTGCAAGCAACAAATTTCATAATCATTGATGAGGTAAAAAAGCATTTCATTTATTTCATAATTGAGGGGCAAATGTCAATGAGGAATACTATGAGAGTCACTATACCTCCAATACAGCCACAGGATCTTTTGCATCTACCTAAACTGGCAGCCAAGGTCTCAGTTTTGTATTTATGAAGAGCCCTGCAACATGCAGTGTCGCATTTTGAAGTGTTAGCCTAGAATGGGCCGCCATTCCACAATCATTTAATTGAGAATGTTACAGCACCTCTAGCAAATGATGTCATCGCAACTGGAGATCAAGCCTGTGATACATGGAAGAACTAACAGAATTTTAGTCACAGCCTGCAATGGTACAAGCTTCAGATGAATAAGATGTTTGTCTCTTTTCCCCAAGTAAATGCCAAAATTTATATTCTGAAAGAAAAGCAGAGATTCAGATTTCCTCACACAGTTCCTGCTGTGGTTTGGATCTCTTCAATAAAGTATTAACTTTAACTCAAGCATTCACTCTGAGCTATAAGCTGCATGCAACTTTTGCATTGTTACAAGAAGAACAAAATACAGGAACAGCTAATTAAATTCATTTTTCATTTGAGGCAACAGTGTTGACAGCCAAAGAGATCATCACACAGAGTGTGCAGCTCACATCCTTAAAGGCAAGCATTTCATCACTCGTGTCTTCAGCAAACTTCTGTGCTCCAGAGAGTAGTTTGCAAGATTTTTATCTTTCACACATCCTCGTGGCCTTGCCTCTCTCTTATTTGGGACTATAAATCTGTATACACCTTCCAGTCCTCCAAGTGTAGAATGTCTCTACGCTGTACCCTTGATGACTATCTTAAATTATCTTGCACTCCTGGAACAATCACCACATTACCCTGAACCTATGACGCTCATCCCCATGACCAAGCAACAAGCACATCATGTGAAATTCATTGCCAACTTCCTGCCAACAGATACCTCCACAACAGCTATATTTTATTAACATGTCTCTTTTACAACACCTTACATGTTTTCTCAACACCTAAATAAACTTCATCTACCACATTTTCTTTAACAATCTAATTAATTGCTCCTTCCATAACAAATATTTTGCTAATTTTCCAAACTAATGACATCAATAATGCAAGACATTAATTCTGGCTTCTCTTTCTACAGCTGTTGCTCAGACTTGCTGAGCATCTCCAACATTTTCTGTTTGTAGTTCAGATTTCCAGTGTCCACAACATTTTTTGCACTGGATTCGCTTGATCGGATGTGTTTTGTTTGCAAAAAGCAGAACGCTCAACTTTAAAACAAGGCACGTGATAAAAATAAGTATTTTAACTTCCAGGAAGCACAACAATGAGGAAAGGAGTCCAGAAATGATGCTTCATCATGCTGATAAAGTGAAAGAAGAATAAACAACATTCGGCAATGGAATGAAAACAAAATTTAGAAAGTAATATCTTTATCAAAGATATGGAATGAGATACAAGTTTATTAAGAAGGCAATATGAGGTAAATAATATATAAAAATCAATAACAATAACTTGTGTCTATTTAGCCCCTTTAATGTAAAATATTCCAAGGTGTTTCACAAGGTCATTACATACAAACATATGAATTAGGAGCAGGCATTGGCCATTCAGCCCTTGAGCCTGCTCCATCATTCAGCAAGATCATGGCTGATCTGATTGGAACCTCAAATTCACATTCACTCCTAGCCTGAGAGAATTTCACATCCTCCATTAACAAGAAACTAACTTCCTGTGGCTTTAATGCATTCAAGAACTCTGCATCCACCTTCTATTCTGGAAGAGAGGGGAAAAAAAATTTCTTAGAGAGAAAAAAAACTCACCTAATCTTTGTTTAAAATGGGCGATTCCTGATTTTTAAGCAGTGATCGTTAGTTCTAGATTCTCCCATGAGAGGTAACATTCTCTCCACATCTACCCTGTTAACACCAGTTATGATCTTACATGATTCAGTCAGGTCACACCTTATTCTTCAAAGCTCCAGTAGACATACACTTAACCTGTCCAACCTTTCCTCATAAGAAAAGCCTCTAATTCCAGGTATTATCTTCTCTGAACTGCACCCAATGCGTTTATATCCATTTTTAAATAAGGTGACCAATGCTGTGCTCCATAATGCAG